CACCCTCTACGGCAAGGGAGACCGAATCTGATGCAGATCAACAGCCCTCTCTTGCAGCCCCGTCATCTGCTGATTCCAAGGCTGAAGCCTGTCATGCTTTGTATGTTGAGCCTTGGGAGGAGTCTGAGACGGCTGACTTCCACTACCGCTTAGAGCATTGGGCTGCAATGAAACATCAGCGTGCTCAAGGGACAGTGAAGTTGATCTTCTTCAAGCTTCTCATAAACCACCACTATCTCCGTGTCTTGATTGATTGTGGTGCAACAACTAACTTTATGTCACCACACGAGATACACCAAGTGGGCTTGGGGATGAAGCAAGTGGCTCTGCAGAACCCTTGCCGAACTCAAGTAGGCAACCATGAAGTTGTCTCATCTACGCATGTAGTCAAAGGTGTGCGGACTACCTTTGACAAGGACAAGACAGTCACCCATGCATAGAACTTTTATGTCCTTGACAAGTGTCCCTTTGACGCAGTCCTTGGCTCGGCCTGGCTGCAGTCCCAATGTGAATGGACCAAGTGGAAGGAGTCACTTTTCATGGTCAAAGATGCTAAAGGGAACAAGCTTCCCGTCCTCTTGGATGAGAAGCGCGAGTCCCTAGTGACTTTTCTCAATACCATGCAGTTCTGCAAAAAGTGGTGCAAGCACAAAGAGGATTAACAAATGTACGTTGCCTATGCTCGCCCTACTCATGTGCCATCTACTTTTGCGGCTAGTACCAATCCTACTTCATCTAACGAGTCTACTTCTAATACTTTTACTTCTCTACCTTCTACTAGTCCAAATGATTCTACTTCAAATTTGGTCGGTCCGACACAATCGAGTTGGTCGAAGGTACTGTTCCTCCAGCCGCCTTTCAAAGCCTCATGGACAAGGTCCTTCGCAAATAGATTGGTCGGTTTGTGGTAGTGTATCTCGATGATATTCTGATCTTCAGTAAATCTATCGAGGAACACATGAAGCACTTTGAGGAAGTGTTCACCATCCTCAAGAAAATGCAACTCCACCTCAACTTAGAGAAATCCGAGTTTGGGAGGGATAGCGTCATCTATCTTGGGCATCGGTTGTCTACTGCAGGCCTCGAGCCTGAGGCAACCAAGGTTGAAGTCATATGTGACTGGCCACAACCTGCGAACATTCACGAACTGCGTTCTTTCCTTGGTCTCGCATCGTACTAAGAGAGTTTGTACCCCGATTCTCTATTATTGCTCGCTCGTTGTCCCGAATGACTAGTAAGAATGTACCTTACGCATGGGATGCAACATGTGAGACCGCATTCCAAGCCTTAAAAGAGGCCTTGGTAAGTTACCCTGTACTCCGCATTGCAGATTCCATACTAACATTCGTAGTCGCTACGGATGCTAGCCAATACGGGATCGACGCAGTGTTGCAACAAGATGAAGGCAATGGCTTGCGGCCGCACGAGTACTACAGCAAACACATGCCCAACGAAAAGGTAGCTACTTCCACCTGCATGCGCGAGCTCTAGGCTTTGCGTATGGCTCTGGATCACTGGAAGCACTATCTTTTGGGACGCCACTTCAAAGTATTCTCGGATCATGAGACCTTGAAGTGGATCAGCTTTGCGTATGGCTCTGGATCACTGGAAGCACTATCTTTTGGGACGCCACTTCAAAGTGTTCTTGGATCATGAGACCTTGAAGTGGATCAAACAGCAAATTGTCCCCTACTCTACTGTGTTGGTTCCATGAGATTGACATTTTTTATTTTGAACTAAGACATAAAAAGGGTTGTTATAATTGAGTTGCTGATGCGTTGTCTCGCCACCCTGAGTACATGACTTGCCTTGTGGGTTCCTACGCTGCCAAGGATCCGAACCTTAGTCCCATCCTTTGAGCAGTTACAGGCCGACCCCAGCAGTCAGCCTGATTTTCACGAACATGGAGGACTGGTTTTCCGACACTATGGGAATCACGAGCGTTTGTGTGTACCCAACCATAAGCCTCTCCACACGCACTTCTTGGACTTGGCTCATGGTCGGAGCGGACACTTCGGTATGGCAAAGACATACCGAAACCTACTAAGACAGTTTGATTGGCCCGGTATGAAGGGATCGACTGAAAATTTTGTGGCTGAATGTCAAGTCTGTCAACGAATCAAACCATGTAGGCAAAATCCCATGGGGCTACTCACACCCCTTCCCATTCCCGATGGATCCGAGGAGTCCGTCTCCGTCGACTTCACTGACATGGGAAAGGTAAGCAAGAATGGCTATTCGCAAGTCATGGTGATTGTTGACCGCTTCTCTAAATTTCTGAATCTGATTCCTTTGCCATCTCATGCCCCAACTGAATTGGTGATCTGTGAGTTTAAACAAAAGTACATTCTGCAGTTCGGAACCCCGAAAACTCTTGTGAGCGATCGAGACCCGCGCTTCATAAGTACCGAATGGAAGGAGTTCACATCCCAACTACCTGGCCTCAAACTATGCATGACATCTGGGCGACATCCCAAAGCCAATGGTTTGGCTGAGGAAATCAACCAGACTGTGTTTCAACTTCTCCGCGCTTTAATCATTCTGGATCAAGAGACGTGGGATGAAGAGTTGTATTCCGTCAAGGGGTTGTATAACAACTCCATCCATTCTGCCACCGGCATGACGCCAAACAGGCTGCATTACGGTTGGCAGATTTGAAATCCGCTCTCCTACCTGTTCCCTGAACAGCCAGCTGGTTTAACACTCGGCAGGCCTGGCTTCAGGGCCAAGTACGATCGCCTGCTCAAAGTTGCTATCACAACAATGACCAAGCGACAACACGCAATGATCCACCATGCGAACAAGAAGCGTCGACCTTCGGATATGGAAGTAGGAAGTTATGTCTGGGTCAAGATGTCTGAATTCTCAGAAGAAGAGGGAGTCTCACGCATTCTTCCACTCTACTACGGTCCGTGGAAAGTTCTGGATGTGATTGGCAAATGACGAGTTTGGCCCCTCATACACAGTTGTTGTGCCACCTCATCTGCGCACATACCCCGTCTTTCATGCATCGAAACTGTATATCCACCGTGGTGCTAAGACCTTCGATTACCTTGAAGATATGATTCCTCGTGCAATCAATGGCGGTCATGAGATCAATAGAATCAAACAGCATGTAGGGAAGGGACGTAACAGACAGTACCAGGTCCACTTCATGTATCACCCCCTGAACGATCTCTACTGGATCTCCAAGAAGGAACTGCTGCGCACCGCACCTCACGTTGTTAAAGCCTGCGAACGACAAATCGCCTCTAATGTTGTTCCCAAAATCTCTGCAAAGCTCACTGCGACAGAGTACTCTCGAAATCTCTTTGCCTTATTTGCTTACCTCGCTCTTAAGGGGGAGGGTAGTGTGATGACCCGACCAAACACGGACCGAGACACAGTTGATTTCTAAGTTTTGCTGACGGACTGAATGCCTTGCTGAGTTTCCCGCTTGCTACTAAGTTCTGCATGTCTGTGTGTGTGCACGCTTGCTGGTCTGCATGTCTGTCTGAGTGCTGGTTGGCTTGAGTGTGTGTGTGACCCGCAAGGGTACTTGTCCGTTCGTTGGGCCCTCAGGGCCGGTACTTACCTGTGGCCGTGACATTGAGGGATTGCAGCGGGGGAAAACACTCAAGTAGCAGGTAGGCCGGTACCGCACCCTGAAGAGGTAGATGTGCGGGTACTGGAGGCCAAGCAGAAGAAGACAAAAGTGGCATTTTGAGAGGCCCAGAAGTTGTAGGCTAGGTCTAGGCGGGTACCAGTCCAACCAGTCTGAGTCTAGGGCCTGTACGGGCAATATCAGAGTCTGCAATGATGTTTACCTCCGAAAGGGAGGCGGTACCAGTTGCTGGGAAGGCCGAGTGGCCTGGGAGTCACCGCCCAAGAGGCAAGCAGGCCGCTATATCTCCAGGCCGGGCGAAGAGCCCAGCCTCATTGTCGGTGTGCAAGTTTGGCGACACACTGGTTGGAGCGCTAGCTGAGAGCAGCGCTGCTGGGGAAGGAGCAAGGACGCAGAGGAGGAAGAAGAGCAGGAGGAAGGGGAGCGCCAGAGGTACTTACCTGGCTATGGTGGCGGCCATCTTCATCACCTTGGTGGGCGCTGCAGCAGGAGGACCCAGCGGGGGTAGAGCCACACCAAGAAGCTTCGAGGCAGAGTCAGGCAAGGCGGCCTGACCTAGAGCAGCCATAGCTGCTTTGGGTTGTCCTTTGGACAGCAGGGCAAGGCCCAGTAGTCCGCCATAGCCTCGGCCTGTGAGAGTGAAGAGTGAGGGAGGCGGCCATGGCTATGGTGGACCTCAAGTGATACCAGCAGTAGAAGAGGAACTCGGACATGATTTTGGATCAGCCATTCAACATTGTACTATTATTTCTTGTATGAATAAGAGAGGAGAAGTAAAGGAGGAGGAGAGTGTTGGGCGAAGAAGAAGAGCTTGTTCATTTGTCTGTGCTGGCATACATCATCTTCTTCTTCTTTTTTTCCTCTTCTTCTTCTTCTTCTTACCCTGATGAATGTGTATCTCGAAATTGGGGAGGATCATAACAATGTCTGGATGTCTGGATCATCTCAAGATCCACCCAGCACAAATGCTTGTATTGTGGTCCAGATTGGTCCCCAGCATAACAATGGTGTAACCATGAATCTAGGCTTGGCGGAAGTATATCAGCATTAGGCCCTCGCCTTAGGAACAGGTCCGACTGAGCTGTCTCCATCTAGGTTCCGAAAACCATTGAACTTGCGGACATCATTTCTGCCATCTGACTGTGACCAGTATACTTTTCCAGGTTTCCTCCTAACCAGGACTCAGACATCGCTAAGTGGGGTCTGTCCCCTAGATGCAATCCTCACTGGTGACACATCGTGCTTGAAGCACATGAACCTAGTTGCCAAAAAGACCACGTCCGTGACCATGAACATCCCAGAAGCGGGGCCTGCACCTTGGATACAAACGAACCCAGGGTAGGTGGGGTGAAGTGAGGTCACAACATACGGAAAGAAGAAAAAACACTAGACTTACCGATAATCGGTCCCATTCCAGACTCGAACCGTTTCATCTTTCGATCCTGTGAAGATATAGGGAAAGTGCGGGTGAAAGCAAGCGCCATACACGTCACTCCCATGCCCAATCAACGTTGCTTTGCAAGATTCGCTCTCATAGTCCCACACCTGAAAAAAAAGGGGCCAGTTTTTCAGCACATGGAAAGATCAAGGACACGTCTCAGAATTCCTTGTCATCCAATTTCATGATCCGGATCACACAGTCTCATCTATCCAGTAAGGGCAGTCGACACGTCTCCTTGACACTCATGCTCCAGCAGCACATCACAATTGTTTAATCACAACATCTGTCAAAGTTCTCAGAACCAAAACATCTTCAGAGTTTTATACCTCGTAATCTCATAGTCCTGGACGATCAGCCCGTACTGGTGCACTGTTATTCAGGGTGGGCCTCCTGTAACATTGCATTGCCAGAATGTGTTGTATGTCCTTTCCTATGCCTTACAGACAATTCACAGGGTGCATTTAGCACGGCTGCAGAACAATGCAATGGAGGTATGATGGATTTGAAAGGTATGAAGTACCCAAGTACGATGGATTTGCAAGGCATGCAGTACTATGAACTGAACCATACAGGTTGTGCTGGACGCAGACTTCACAATCAGGCCCGCATGCATGGGCCTTGATTTATGGGGAGCCTACATGGAGGCTTAGGACATACTGATGTAGTAAAGTCACAGGGTCACCTATTCTACAGCGCAGGGTCTCTTTGATTGACAAGAAGATAAAAGACCTGATTACTTGAACGAAAAACGAAATAACACAGTGAATAGAGTCGTCAACATGTTGAAAACTTTCACTGACAAAATCGAACTCATATCACGCCCCTCTGAAGAAATGCGCACATATAAGACAGGAAAAAAGACTGTGATTTGACCGATTGAGCAGAGCGCAGACCTTACTCAAGTGAGAAGTTGAGAGCACATTTCTGCACCAGACTGCATGAACGAAAATGTTGCGAAGTTCATGCAATGCTCTGTGTCCACAAACGACAACACGAAGAATGGGCAAAACCAAGGACAATGCTATGATCCAAGTTGATTCATGATTCAAATCTCAAACTTGAG